GTTGTTTGGCAGGCCCAGGCTGGATTCGAACCTGCCAACTCTGGGGTATGTGGCTGGCACCTTAGCTGCTTGAGCTACAGGTGCTGAGCTGATGTTCTTTTTCTTAAGATGTAAATTCATGGTAACCTAATCTCAGCTATCTATATTAGGTGGAGACCAGCATGGGTAATGTTTTTTTTAGACAGAGTCTCACTATGTTGCCCTTGGTAGAATGCTGTGGTGTCATAGCTCACAGCAACCTTAAATTCCTGGGCTTAAGTGATTCTCTTGCCTCAGCCTCCCAAGTAGCTGGGACTATAGGCGTCTGCCACACCACCTAGCTAATTTTTGGTTGTAGTTGCCATTGCTGTTTGGCAGACCTGAGCTCGGTTCGAATCCGCCAGCTGTGATGTATGTGTCTGGCACCCTAGCCGCTGAGCTGCAGGCTCCAAGCCAAGCATGGGTAATTTTAAAGAGAAAATAAGAATGAAAAAATTACAGAAGTAGCACAGGTTCATTTAAATATTTGAACAATATAAAATGAACAAAGTGAAAGTGAAAATTACTGATGTATAAATTGATTTATTGGGTACCTTTAACAGTTTAGTGTGAGCTTTTCAGTTTTTTTCTACGTACTTCAAATATTTATACAAATGTTAATTCAGATATCAAGTATGTACTGTTCAATAGGCTTGCCTTTGCTTGGCTACAAGCAAAATCTGTCTTTTCATTCTGGAACCTAGGCTTGAGGAGTTGTCCCTATTGAGAGTATGACATAGTATAGGGGAGAGATTGATGGTAATTATAATTATCTGCTCAATTGTGACAAATGTCACGTCTTAATTTTTTTGGTTTAGAGCAGTCACCTGGTCAAACCCAAAGTCAATAAGGCAGGGACATAGAATGTTCCACAGGGTGCAGTCAAGTCAGGTAACAATGGGCGGGGGGAGGATGTATAATCCTACTATATTCAAGGAATAATAAATATTTTATCTAACACATCAAGTTAAATTCAATTGCTTTTGATCCTTTTTGAGAAGATTGCCTTGGCCAGTTGAGTAGTCACATACCAAGTGCCAAAGTCTGAGCTGATTTTTTTTTTCCCAGCAAAAATAGCATTGGTTTGGCTTGGCGCCTGTGGCTCAAGTGGCTAAGGCGTCAGCCATGTACACCCAAGGTGGTGGGTTCGAATCCAGCCCAGCCCCGCCAAACAGCAATGA